TTAAAAGGATGAATTTATTTTCATTCAATAAATGAATCTAAAACAGATTCATTTCCACTTAAAGTGCATTTAAAACTGAAGCTTTATTATTGAATTGTACATCTAAGAAGGTTTTATGAAAAGCACTGAAGGTTAAATATGGGTTAATAGTCACGATCATTTACTTAAAGACCAATGTTGAAAATCACATTTAGGATAGAATTTATAGTAATGGTCCTTTTTATGAAAGAGCTTTGATCACACTGTTGGTGGGAGTGTAAATGAGAACAATGTATTTTCAAAAATAATTTGGCCCCAAATTGTAAAGTTGAACATTTTCATTCCCAACTACCCAGTAATTTCACTGCTGGGTATATATTGTAGAGAAAGTTTTACACACATGTCCCAAGAGATAGTACAAAAATTAGTCATGAAATCATTGATCATAACAGCAAAAAACTGGCTACTTAAATGTCTACAGAAGGAAGATAGATAAATTGTAGAATAGTCACACAGTAGAATATCACATAGCAGTGAAAATGAACTATATGTAATGGAAGGATCTAGAAATCAGTATTAAGTAAAAAAAAAAAAAAATACCAGAGGACTACACACAGTAAGATACCTGTTTTATAAAAAGCTTAAAACCAAGCAAAACTAAAAAAATATATTACTTAGGGATGCAGACATATATGATGACGTTATTTTTTAAAAAGACAAGGGGATGGTAAAACACAGAATTCATGATAGCGGTTACCTGCGGAGGACAAGGAGGGAAGTGGGATAGGGAAAGAAACTCCTAGGCTGGTACAGAGATCGGTCACAGTTTGGTTTTTAGGTGGGATGATGGGTTCATAGGTGTAGTACTCATGGTTGTTGTGCTTCATGCACCCTTTTGTATGTATAGTTTAAAAATATAGATGTATATTGATAGAATATTAGTAAAAGAATACTACTCAATACTCGGTATATATTTGTACGCAGAAGGCAGGAACAATACAGAATACAAATATGAATGCTATAGAATACAAATATATATAAACAATATAGAATACAAATCAAATTTGTAATTGGGAAATAGAAAAATGTGCAGAGAATTTCTACATGTATAGAAGATAATTTAAAATTATTTCAGGGATTCTTTATTACATTCATCAGTCAGAGCTGATAAGTCATTTTACTTAATTTTTACAACTTTGTTATAAGTGGCAAAAAAAAAGAAATGAGGACATCATAGAATGACATCATACAGAAAATAGATATGTTATCAAACTCTGTTTTAAAGATTTCTTAAACCTAAAAGCTACAATTCTGAAGTTTTTTCTGAGAATATATTACTTCTAAAAGCTTTATTTTTTGTTCTTTATATTCTTGCAAGGCTGACATGAGTTCACTGCAGAGTTAAAAATGGTAATTACCTGGTAAATATTTATTACTATTACTGTATTTCATGAAAACCTAGGATTGCAATTAGCTCTTGGTTCATTACTGTGTCACCTGTAATGGTATAGTATTTGCACAAGGCACAGTCTTTGGTACTCTTTCTGTGAAATTCAGATAGTATTTTACTCTAGCAACAAATCTTTTTGACTTTTATGTAGAGATGAAGGACAGTTTACTTGTACTTGTCCACTGCCCAGCACATATTCTCTGTGGGTGAGGTACTTAACAGTGCAGTGCTGACAATGCTAAAGTCAAAGGTTAAAGTCAGAACTGTGGGATAAGAGCCTGTGTACTCTTTCTCAGATTTCTGCAACAAAGAGCCACTGAAATGTTACTAGAGAAGCATAAAAATTAGACTAATCATCTCAGTATCACTGGGCAATCAATGGATGCTAAGAGGATTGAATTGGTGGTCAGAAGAACTGAGTTGAGTTTCCAACTTCTTATACTGAATTGTGGTATTCAATTAACATCTTTGTGCCTCATTTTCCTCATATTTATAACAGAGATAATAGCTCTTTTATCTTCCTCCTAGGATTGTTATGGGAATGGAAATAAATTGATATACATGAAAAACCTGTATAATGTCTAGGAATATGCAAATGTTAGTTTGTCATTAGAGGAAGGTCTTTTTCTCAAATACATTAACATTCACAGTGACCTCTAACAAAACGCTTTAATAGGCCTTTAAAAGTTACTATGTAAACGATATGAATTTCTTAAAAAAAATGAGAAAATGCCTATAGGGTGTGCTTGAAAAATCACTTTATTGATTTTTCACAAAAATTAACAATTTAGATGTAAATGTCAAAGCTTATCTCCACAGAATCCACAGGGTATCTAGATTTATTAATCAAGTCAAGACCTCCTTTTGCTATTTAACTTCTAAGGAAACCAGTATGGTCCTTTCTCTTCTTTATTTAGGTATGGAAGAAACACAAGTCATGCCTCTCATGAGTATCTGCTGCTATCATCAATACAGTAATGTTGTGGACAGGCTGGTTGGGCCCCTAGGTTTGGAATTTTACTTCGGCTCCAGGGCCTGGTTAGACTTGTAGTTCTGGAATCTTGATCAACTTATCTGGAAGGTGACTTTGCCTCAGAGAAAGGTTCTGATAATGCACCCAAAAGCCATTTGCTAATTTACAGTAAGAAATAATGTAAACGCATATCTTCATGACAACACTAATGTATTACTTTTGCTCTATAGTTCCTAAAGGCTTTTTAAACTCATTATCTCATTTTGGAATCTCATGACTTATGACTTTTGAACAGAATGACTTAATTTATTTCAAAACTGTTTATTCATCAGATGGAATATACCAAAAAGTGCAAAACAAAATAGGGGACCATATCTTAGTTGTCAAAAACAACATACTGTTGGGGCGCCTGGGTGGCTCATTTGGTTAAGCGACTGCCTTCGGCTCAGGTCATGATCCTGGAGTCCCGGGATAGAGTCCTGCATTGGGCTCCCTGCTCAGCAGGAAGTTGGCTTCTCCCTTTCACCCTCGCCCTCCATGCTCTCTCTCTTTCTCTCAAAAAACAAACAAACAAACAAAAAGACAAAAACCAACAACATACTGTTAACAGTTCTTCGTTATTTCCTTCCTGTCTTTTCTATGCATGCTTATGTAATTGAGAACATACTGTATATGTCATTTAAATGTCAAAGTTTTCTTTCTTTCTTTCTTTGGTTATGATGGCAGTCTATGCTTTTTGTAAATATTTTGGAAAAGTTGTAGAAAGCACACAAAAGTCCAAGGCAGAACATGAAAACCACATATCATCTACTACTGTAGTTAAACACACTGAATATTTTGGTGTATTCCTTCCAGTATTTTATTCCTATCTATCTATCTATCTATCTATCTATCTATCTATCTATCTCTCTATTTATTTATTTATTAAAAACGTAGTCGGGATCATACCAAGGCAGGAATGCTTGGGGACACAGACACTGCCTGGGCTTGGATCAGGCAGCCTCTACTCTCCAGTCTAGCGGACTGGAAGTTGCAGATCAGCACTTTTCTTCCTGGACAGGGGTAGGGAGAATGACTATTTTCCCTTAAAGCTCACTTCTTTCTGTATTTTTAGCTGATTTGTACATTGTTCATTTCCCCCAAATCTTCAAGGCCATTGACACCTGCCCGTATTTCAACAAGTTATCCTTGATGGTTTCGGGAAGCCCGTACTCTTCTCTGCGGCCCTTCACTTCCGCTCATCGAGAGACTCCCGCCCCGACCGCACTTTCTCCTGCGATGACTGAGCAGGTGGAAGGAGGCCTCGAGTTTGGAGCTTCAAAAGGATCCTGAAACTCGAACAGCCCAGGCACAGGTCTCGCCCCGCGGCGGGGTCGGGAGCGCCCCGGGGCTCCACTAGGAGGCTCCGAGTCTCTCCGCCGAAGGGTGGCCACCACCGAAGGCCTTCGCGGTTAGTCCTCTGCTCCAAGGGCGGCCGCAGCCCTCAGGGAGGCCAGCCCATCCTCGCCCCTCCCGAGGTTATCCTCAGAGCTCACTTCCCTGGGGCTCCGAGTCCTCACATCCTGCTGTCGTCGGGAGGGTCTTTTCTCGTCGCGAGAAAGGTTCTAGGCCTCAGCCTCGCTCTCCGCCTCTCTTGAGATCCCGGCAGGCCTCTGTCACAGAACCCAACGGTCGGATCCTCTCCGCCTCGCTTTGCGAGCCTGGAGAAGTGCGTCCCTTCTCGCTTGCCTTATGCCAGGCGAGGCGGGGACCGCACTACAGTGCTGCCAGCCGGAGGGGGGAACGCTCACGTGCGGCACTTTGCTTTCCAGCCGGCGACAATAGCTCTCGAGAAAACCAGCGTTCAGACGACCAGGACTAGTATTATTTTGTCCTGGGAGCCCGCACAGGAGGGAGGAAAGGCCATCTACTCGACCTGGGCAGCGGACGCACCCCTTTTCTCCCCCTCGGTTCGTCTGAACGGCCCGGAGCGGCGAGCGCTCCAGCCTCCGCGGAGCTGCCTCAGCCTTTGACAGCTCCGCGCGAGCACCTCGGGCCTGAAGTCCAAGCTCCAGGGGAGGGACGGGGCGGGGCGAGCGCGCGCGGGGCGGGGCGAGCGCGAGCGGGGGCGAGAGGAAGGAGCGCGCGAGCGAGCCGAGCGGTGCCGAGCGGAGCAGGGAGGTACCGGGGAGAGGCTGGCTGAGCCCGCCAGCAGCCTGCGGCTCAGCGCCGATCGTGCTGCGTCGCCGGGCTCCGCGTACCCCCGCCTCTGCCCAGGCTCCCGCAAAACTTTTATTCTCTGGGGCTTCCCGGGGTGTCTGAAGGAATCGGAGCGCTCGGCAGGCTCTGCGCTCCCCTGCCGCGGCGACCCAGGGGACGTGCATCCCTTGCCCGCTGGGCTCTCGCGCCCCGCGCCTCCTCACCTGCTGCTGATCTCTCCCCAGAGCGGCGAGGGGGCACCCGCGGAGGGGCCGCGCGGGGGCTAGCGCCCCCGAATTTCCCCGCCCACCACCGTAGACTCGCCCGGCGCAACTTTAACTTGATTCCTCTAGCCCAGCTCGGGCACCCGCGGCTGCTGCTTTGCTGCCACCGCTGCCGTCTCGGCCGCCGCCTCACAAAGGGGCGCGTGGAGGGGAGGCGGCGCGGTCCGCGGGCACAGGCGCCGGTGCGCAAGGCGCGGGCCTCCTTGCCGCCAAGGCCGGGAGACAAAAGGGAAACTGCCTGTGTTCGCCGTGCGGGCTGGGAGCAGCCTGCTCGTCCGCCTCCTGCCCGGCTCCGCGAGTCTCCTCCCCCATCCCTCGGCTGCTGCTCCTCCTCCCTCCCCGCGGGCTGTTCCCGCAGTGCTCCGGGACCCGGCGAGCCTTCGGGGCGCGCGTCGCTGCTGGTGGTTGGGGCTGTAGCGATAATAAATGATAGAGGATACCATGACTTTGCTGTCTCTGCTGGGTCGCATCATGCGCTACTTCTTGCTGAGACCCGAGACGCTCTTCCTGCTGTGCATCAGCTTGGCACTGTGGAGTTACTTCTTCCACACGGACGAGGTGAAGACCATCGTCAAGTCCAGCCGGGACGCCGTGAAGATGGTGAAGGGCAAGGTGGCCGAGATCATGCAGAACGATCGGCTCGGGGGGCTCGACGTCCTAGAGGCCGAGTTTTCCAAGACCTGGGAGTTTAAGAGCCACAACGTGGCTGTGTATTCCATCCAGGGCCGGAGAGACCACATGGAGGACCGATTTGAAGTTCTTACGGACCTAGCCAACAAGACGCACCCGTCCATTTTCGGGATCTTTGACGGACACGGGGGTGAGGTAGGAGTTTTCTGGGGTTTTGTTTGTGTGGGTGTGCGTAAACAAGAGGATGTGTGAGCAGCGGGGTAGGAACTGGGTGCGAGGGGCGTGGTGATGACCTGGTGCCCGGCTGGACAAAGACACTAGATCCAAATGTGGTTCAGCTTGCTAAAAAATACTGCTGGATCCAGACCTCTTGGTCTCAGTGGCCAATTTGGGGGAGGGAGGGTCGTCCACAATCTATTTTGTGCCTCATAATTTGAGGTTTCCCGAGACCAGAACCCAGCAAATGACTGTGCTAGTTTTTCGGGGAGCGTTTATGCTTTCTGCTGTGAACTTTGGCCCAGGGCCTCAGCGCTCCTGTTCTAGGGTTTGAGGCTAAGCTAGGCACAAAGAAGAAAGAAAATACCTTTGATTCTCTTTAGGGAAAAGAGACAAAATCTGCAGAGCCGAGTTAGTGAGGGCTCATTGAAGATGAAGGAAGCTGTGACTCCTTCCCATCCCATTCTCCTAGAGGAAGAACCCGAAGGGCAGCTCTTCGCTTCTTCCCAACTCCATTAACTTTGCAAGTTAACAGTGGCGCCTCACTGGTCGCCTGCTTTTAGCTGGATCGTGGCATGGGACCGGGATGCCTCTGGCCTTTGCAGAGGCGGCAATGACCGCAGAGGCGGCGGTGCCCAGATCTCGCCCGGGCGCCCTGGCCGGCTTGGTGCGCAGGCATCTCCCTGCTTCTAAACTCCTTTATTTGGGGTTCATCTGGGGCAAAAGATGATGTTGGAGGCCGGTTCGGGTCCCTCTGCCGCATATCTGCGCAGGGGCTCAGATTTCCTGGAGGTAGGGGCGAAGGTTGGCTCTTGTCCTTGGCATTGGCCCAGGGGAAGTGAGTGGCAAATGTGGCTCCAGCGCCGTTCTCCCAGGTGCATCAGTCAGCCACCCTATCTCTCTCAATTGGCAGTTTGTAAGAGTTTCAATGCTGCATACTTTTTTTTTTTTGCAGGATACTTTTTTACTCATATTCCCTCTGCCCCCTTTGCCACCCCCTCTTCATGAGTCCCCCACCCCACCCCACTCCCCGTGCTCTGTACCCTCATCCAACTTTCCCTCCAACTCTCATTTTGGCCCTCTGGTCTCTGGTGGGCTGTAGGGGATGTCAGCAGGTCATGATTTGCTTTTTTTTTGGCCTTTGTTTTGGGTGAACATTGAGAAAACTTTCAATTGGTTATTTTATTTGCATTCTGTCTTTGATACAAAGTCACTTCACCCACCACCCTGCTAATCTTTCCCAGGTACTCTATCTATCAGCCTTAAACCAACTTTGCCAGGAATGACAAACTTAGTTGGAAAATTTATTTGGTAGAATTGAAATCAATTTTTGCTATTTTCCATCCACCCTAGCCCTCTGTTCTGTCTTTCAAAATGTTGGTTTCAAAGGAAGGTTTTTTTACTGGTTGTAATTTTGTAGCTTTTTGTGTAGGGTGGGGTTCCTTTCCCCTTGGTCACAGGATAGGTGAAAGACCTGAAATTAATTGAGGGAAGAGATGCTCTGTGCTTGGGTAAAAACATATTTGAATGATAATATTCCCAGTATAAAGACTAAGTTCTTTTCTTGGTTTGATCAGAATGTCTATATTTTCATTTTATGTGCTTCGCCTAGACTGTTTTAAATCATTTAATAAAGCTTCTATTTATTATATATTTTTAAATTAAAATTGGGCCGCTGTTAATCTGCTTCTGGTCTTAGAAAGCACAGCTTTATTTTTAATTTAAAGGTCCAGATGTAATATTAATGTTGTGAAACTTTGGGTTGTGCTTGCTTGGGTGTGCTGTACTGATATATTTTGAGGCTGCACGTGTAAGTGAATGAGTATTTTAAATTTTCTTTTAAGTTGATATTCTACAACCTGGAAGTTGTGGACCTAAACAGATTTCAGGTTGAAGAATTTCCAGTACTATCTTCTGGTAAATGTATCATCCAGAAAAGGGACATGATAAATGTTTTTATTTAAACAGAAGAATTTTACATGTATAGGTACCCTCCTTAAAAATAGAGTAATTGTTCTATCTATAATCTCCTATAGTATGTAGCCCATTCATTCATCTTGGCTTTGTTTTAAGGCAAAATAAGAAAAGTAATGTAAAAGGTAGTTCTTTAGTTGCTATTGGGAATGTGATAATAACAAATAATATTAGGTATTTTCTTTCTTGCTTTTTCATTCATTCAAAGAAAACCCCACCATCTAATTGTTGTCTTTTGTGTTGTTTTAGCTCCTGTAACATTCACCAGAGGAGGGTGCCACTGTTTGATTTTGGTATAGATGATAGTTGTCTCCTTTCAGAAAAGAGGAAGCTTTTTCTGAGCTCCCTATTATTTGTATATGTTGTGTACAGAAGATAAATGAGGACTTTAATTTCATTTCTACTAATTCAAACTAATAAGATAGTCTATAAAAAATGAGGGCCCATCTACAATGGTACTGCTTTTTAAATGTAGAAAGGAGCTAAGCCAACTTGTATATATACATTTCATCCCATTTTTTAGATGAGGTATTTGTTGATGGGCTTAAGATGTGACCTTCCTAGGTTAGTTCAAGGCCTTCAGTTTGGTAATTTTTATATTAAACCACTGGACAAGTTAATTTGCATGTTTACCTCGATAGATAGCACACTAGGGATACAAAGGTGAATGAGATAGGCTTCCTGTCCTCGCAAAGTTTCAGTGTAGTGAGAAAGATCTGTATAACAAAAATTACAGTCATGATGTGCTTAGGGTGTTATGGGAACACTGAGTAGGGGCATTTAAATTGTACTGGGAGGTGGGAGGCCCAGGGAAAGACACTTTGAAGACATTATTTACTGCAAGTTAAAGGCACAGGTTTTGGTTTGAGATCTGGCTTTGAATCTCTGCTCTGCCTTATATTAGCTGTGACCATGGACAAGTTGCTTAGTCAACTTTATCTGGGAGTTATTAATCTGAAAAATAGGGATAATAATGCACATAAGGTACACCTCTATCAGTTGTATTTTACCGTATCTAGAGAAATACTTAATGAACGTGGAAGGATGTGGAAAAGAAAGCTTAGAGACCGAGAAGTCTGCATTGTTAGGGCAACAATATCCTAGGAAGAGAGACTCTACATGTGAAAGCCACAGTTTTGATCACTAGAAAGGCATGTGTTGGATATGGATAATTTCAAACTTTATACCTCTTTGTTCTAACTTATGGTAAACTGATTACTAATTTGGGATTTCAGGTATCAGCATTGGGGAAGAAGCAGCATCCTGGCTTCTGGTGCAAATTTTCTGGTTAATGGAAAGGAATATTCTCTATGATTGATTAATAAGTTGGTGTTCTGATTCCCACTTCAGCCTCTTAGCATGAGTTGGTACTCTTTAGTCTATTCAATTGTGTATTTTTGACAAAGATTTATCTCTGGACTTCTTATGCTGAGGACCAGACTCTGGATAGCTGTGACTTCTACATGAATGACATCTTAAAGAGCTTTGTCTCAGTGTTCTTATAGGCCAGCTTCCTCACTTGATGCTGTTGGGCCCTTGAGACATTCTCATGATACTGTGAGTAGATAGATGGTTGATTCTGTGTGTGTGTGTGTGTGTGTGTGTGTGTGTTTGTCTAAAGCGATGGCAGTGATTGTTTTTCTGTATAATAAAAGATTTAAAAAAGATTAAAACAACAAAAAGGTAAAAAAAATAGCTCAAATTATACCAAGTGATGTGGAAAGGTTATTTTTAAAATTAAAAAATAATGTTTATCTAGGAAAATGTTTTTGTGTGTGTGTGCTTATCTCCAGTTTTTATCTACCAGCAAAAGGTGGGTGTTTTTTTGTTTGCTTCTTTTACTTTTTATATTATGTAGAAGAAATATCACCAGTCCTTTGAGGCAACTTTGTCAATGTTCATGGCTTAGACCTATCTGGAAAAACAGATTGCTATGTGCTTCATCATTACTGTATTAAAGGTCATTGTATCATACAGTTGACACATAGCTTGGCCAGTGGTTAAGCTTAGAGTTCCACACTTGGCATCAGAGAAGTTGTACTTCAGATGCTTGTTGGGGACTGCAGTCTTGAGGCTCAGCACTTCTCAGAAGTTCAGAGGAGAAACTGCTTATGGAAGGTTCCCTGAAGGATACATATAGTCTAGTTCTTTAGATTAATGGTTCTTAACTTTGAGGATGTTATGAAACGACAGACATAGCCCAAGAAGAATGGACATGTGCATCAAGTTTTGTTTATAATTTTAAAGATAAGTGGATACATGAAGCCTCTCGATTTTAGGTTAGTTCAGGTAGAATAAAATCTGTTTCTGATAAATCTAGACTTGCGGGGAGCTGTGTACCTGGACCCCTTCCTTGGCCTGATTGTCATCTTTTCCATCATTTGCATTTATTGACCGTGTGCCATCATTTGCCTATGAGGGATGTTAGGAGGAATGGTCTTCCCAGTTTTCTGAGAAATCAACGGCAAAGATGTCCTCGAGGACTTTATTTGTTGCATTATATAGTATCCTTTTTATGAGGACCAAGGGAAAGACAGTTCTCTGATAGCTTTGTGTTTTTAGCTTAAGGATTGAATCATGTGACTAGCTGGATCATCCTGTGTTTGTTGGATACTAGAAGTGTTAGAGCCAAGCCTTCTGACCTACCTCTAACAAATGTGCAGAATTTTATGGAATACATTGATTTGGTATATAAATCTCACTCGCAGGACAGCTTATCTTTCCTACATTCAGTTTTCCTTTGTTTTATTATTTTCTTTCTCTTCTGAGATAATGTCATTTTATCTTGTTGTGGTGTATGTATTTATGTAAGTTTCATTGGATCCTTTCTGAAATAAGATACAGTTCTGAATAATTAAATAATGAGTGGCACGATGAATGATCTGCTTTTCAGACATTATAGCTGCTATTAGTAAATGTTGAAATCCCACATTACCAAGGTTACAAGAGGCCTGTGGATTTAATGTGGACAAATGCCTTTTGATTTAAGAGAAAACTCAGATTAC